CACCTTCAGGCTTATTATACATATTATTACATATTAATAAGCCCTCTGACTGACTATTATTTTATTAATGATAATGAGTAATGGTAATAACAAATTATTAAACTATTGTAGCCAAAACGAGGCCAAGTGGAGCACCTTATTCAAAAATAAGATACCAAGGAATGAAAATGAAAATCATGTACATTATACCCAAACACCGCAACGCTCGAGTTTTAAACATACGGGTAGCTAGCTGTACTGAACCCTCTGAGTAAATTGAGGGCGCAATTGCAAACGATGGTGCTTAGCGAAATTTGATTGGCTAAATCTATGGCAGCCATCTTGGATGGTATTCACACAGTTCTGCGTATTTCGAACATCGAATACATTGCGGTTAGCGCTCTAGTATTCTTAGTATTATCACAGAGTATAAATAGTATTTATACTCTTTGGTATTATATCTATGGAGTAGTCATATTAAGGTACCATATCCCCGACAGTTGGCTATGTAGCAATGTACCCTTTGAATACAAATTGAAGACAAGTGCAGATATAAAGGCAGCCGACTGTCGGGTACATAACGACTATCTAACTTTCCACAAAAACGTTAGGCCTAAGCTAGGCCTACAGTACAGTATAGTTACTGCGATGCGAGGGTGGTAGATCGTTCAGTCAGTGATATCGTGTTATCGTCTAATACATTTTAATAATGTGTGTACAATTTAAGAATGCACCGCGTGGGTCGATTTCTTGTTATGCGGTAGTAGTATACGTAGAAGAGCAATCTAAGCCCGGTAGCCTAGGGCCAGGGTGCTCGATCATTTCGGCCGCCAATCGTTTCGGCCGCCGCGCCAAATGTATGGAACGCTAAAAAGACACAGCAGCCGTCACTGAGAAGAACGTAGTCATACAACAGCTGGATACGATACATCAGTAACAAAAAGGAGAAAATATGTAAGCCTAGGCCTAAAGTGAATAATTAAATTCTTAATTATTAATTATTTACCAGTATAAAAACATAACGTTAAAACAGTACAGTATACTGTATCAATACATTTGATGTTGATACGTAGATTTATTTTCCTTGCGTGATAATGAATAAAGTATGTCATTCATACATTTGTTGATTTTGTTTGATGGTTGAGACAGTAGGCCAAAATAATTAAGAATTTATGTACCGGTATAAAAACATAACATATAAAAACAAGAATATTAAAACAATACCGTATTTGTTTTTATGTACAACTATGACATTTCGTTTGTTAATATGTTTGAATTTTTGATAAATTTTTTCTTGTGTGTTGACATGTTATTCACGCAAAAATATTTACTGTATAGTACCGGTATCAACTTTATTTCGTCACTTGTAGATATGTTTGTATTTTTGTTTTATTTTTATTGTTGAGAATTGGTGAATAATGAGAACATAATTAAGAATTTATGTACCGGTATAAAAATATAACATATAAAAACAAGATTATCATTCAAATGAGTGTTACTAGTGCATTAAGTTGAAGACAACACCCATAAATTACTGTCTAATAAAATTGGACTTTGAATATATAAATGAAATGATTGAAATATTATAATATACGTACACAATTCCTTATCTCTTTCAGCCAATCTCCAATTCTATGTCATGTGTGTGTATGTTAATGTACGAAGAGGCAGTGACAGTGTCCATAACAGCAGAGTTGGTACATCCCGAGGATGTAACCAAATCACAGACCAATGGCTCGAAGAGGAGTACAGAGAGGTTGTTGAGGATTTGGCGAGAGTATCGTGGCGGCCAGCGAAGTGCCCAATCACTCCTGAATGTTGGCAGCAGAATTATCTCGCCGCAAACCCGCGATTAAGCAGTTATAATTAATTAGGAACTATTATTAACATGAATAATGAATATAATAAACATGGATAATCATAATCATGATGACATTAATAAATACTGGAATATGTTTACTTGACTTAGGCCTATGTACATAATGTATATATAACTTGTATACTCATACACTTAATGTATCTACATAATTAAGCTAAACATTATCATGTGTTAAATGAAATATTTATGTAAATTTGCTTATTTTTGTATATATGCTTTATTATGTAAGTTTCAATAAATGATGACTATACCAGTTAAAATTTTGCTTTATAGTATTTTTTGCGAGACTTGTAGTGAGGTGTTTCAATACAATATATACTGTACCGCCATAATTAATATTTACGAAAATGTATATAATTATATAAATTATTACAACAAACATATTATTAACCATTAATCAAACTAGTTTCAGACAGAATTTATTTTCCTCACCGTCTTAGGAACAAATTAAAATCATTATCATGATAAATCAGTTTCTGCACTCATATAATTGTTACAATAATTTATAACAACGAACATATGTTTATAAAATTAGCCAACATATTTTATTTATTAGCCAACATATGTTTATAACATTCCAAAGATTAAAAAAAAGTACAAAATTACATTAAGTATAGTGACACACAACTCATTACGACTATCATCAGTTATTACTAACTATAACAACTACAACTAGACCTTCGTGCTACTGAAAAATACTACAGTTATAACAATTTAGGCCTAAGCATAATATTTAGGTTATCATTAGGCGTTATATTTTATTAACCACAAAAATAAATAAATATACCTAATGAAAAATGCGTAGTAGGCCTAGGCCTAAGCATGCATTACATACAAATATGCACTATCGTCTCAATGATTTTGCTCAAGAAACCATTGTCTTCAATTCCACAAATGTTAAAATAATGTAAAAAGCATTGTATTCTGTAT